TAGGTGAGGGGTGTTTTGTAATTGTTTGGTGTTTGTTTTTTTTGTTTGTTTGTTTGGTTTTTTTTGTGGTTGGACTCGATGATCTCAGAGGTCCCTTCCAACCACTAAGATTCTGTGATTCTGTGAAGTCCAACCATCTACCCTACTCTAAAGTTCTCCCCCCTACACCGTATCCCCCACCACCACATCGAAACGGTTCTTAAACACAGCCAGGGATGGGGACTCAACTCAATGCCCGACCCCTCTCTCTGTGAAGAATTGTTTCCTAATGTCCAGATCAGCACAAGCCCCCCACCCTTGGACACCCTTGTCTCCCCAACACCTCCTTGCCTCCAAACACCACCACGTTTCGAGTCAACACGGAGCAAAGAAGCTCCAACCATTTCCCCCACCAAACCCTCCACGCTCAAACACCCTCCCCGCCTGGATGCTGTGGAAAGGAGCGATTTTTGGGGAGAAAAAAAAACCTTCTCCTCACCTGGGTCCGACATGTGTCCTGCAGCTTCAAGTATTTCTCCATGAGAATGTGGTTGATCTTGTTGAGAACGATGTTCATGCCGTCCCGGCTCACCAGCGCCAGGTCCCGGTAGCACTGCAGCAGAGGAGAAAGAGAGATGGTTACAAAGGAAGGACCATAATGGAAAAGCCCATGGTTTTAGCAAACTTGACCAGAAAACATCTCAGGGGAAGGTCAAGACAGAGAGATTCCCACCAGGTGACCTGAATTGGTGTCCCCAGGGCCAACCAAGGAGAGCCATTATAGACTCCTGAGATGGTTTGGGTTGGAAGGGATCTTGAAGATCACCCAGTTCCACCCAGGCCAGGGCCTTCAGGAAGGGGTCGGTTGATAAACAGTCATGTCCACGTGGCTTAAGCCCCCCACCACCGCTCCCAGTCTCCCCAGTGACAACTGGAACCACACGGAAGGTGCCCACAGGACTTGGGGTCACTCCAACGTGATGCTGGTCCCGTTTGGCCACGTGGGAGCTCCGGGGAGATGCAGGAGAAGAGGCAGATTGTCCCCAGGCCACCGCTCCTCCTGGCCCAAACCTTCCAGGGGGAGCCAGAGGTGGATTTGGAGATGGTCTGGCTCCAAACCCTGCTGCCACCACGGCATATTTTGGGTTAGAAATCCACGTATTCTCTCCAGGATCCAAACTGGTGGATTTGGTGGGGTCGTGCTATGGGATCACAGGGAAAAGAAGGATTTTCTCCCCTCTCCTCTGCCACCAGGAGCTGGACAAAAAGCTGGGATGGAGAGAAAGCCAAGGTGGCAGCTCTCCCTTCCCCTCCGGTCAGGACAGCAGGGGGTGGAGGGTGATTAGGAAGTAATTTGCTAAGTGGTTCTGCATGAATGTTAATTTGTGCCAGTAAATGTCATGATATTCCAGAGAGCAGGGGTCTGGTGGCTGCATCCTCCTTTTAGACAGTTAATTAGGCCTCGAAAAGATCTCTTTGATTAGAGACTCCCTGGGCTCAGGCTTTCCTTTTCAATATAATACCGTGTAAAAAAAAATAATCTATATATGAAAAAAAACCCCAATAAATAAATAAAACCCTAAACAAATCCAAGAGGTGTAGACTCTTTGGGGCTTTTAATTGCTTTTGAAATGCTAAATGAATCCCTGCAAAGAGGAGTCAGACTCAGAATCTCCACAAAGAGGATTACCTGCCCAGGAATGCACGACATCTCCCTCCAGAAAATAAACTCCTACGTCACACTCACTGGAAAAAAAGCAGGGGACAGAACTGGGCCAGGACACAGCCAGCTCCCCCCGTGGGTCTGCTCCACCTCAGATGAAGCTTTGACCTAAAAACGTCGGTGTTGGGGGGTCCCTGCCCTGCCTGGATCCCACCTCCTGAGCTCCAGGGCACGATGAAGAACAGCCATCACCCTTGGCACGTCCCCACCACCCTGAGGAGCAGCCACAAGATGAACATCTTTCACCTCAGTAGCTTTTCTGGGTGGTTGGTAGCTTCTGCCTTCAAAGAATTCACAATTTTCTGGGTGAAAGAGCTGGGTGTTGGGTTTTCTTGATGGATGTGTGGTGGCCACCTCAGTGTTTAAAGCCACCACAAGGTCCCGTGATGCGGCCCCAAGAGCAGGGAATGAGCTCCCCATGGGCTGGGTGGATTTTGGCAACGTCCTCAGGAGAAGGGTTGGAACAAACAGCTCCAAAGTCCCTCTAATCTGAGGGATTTGCTTCTGGTTCAGTATTTAAGTCCCAGGAGGAAGGAAGGCCACCATAATCCCATTACCTGGGGAAGTTTGGCAGCTCCTCCCCTCGCTCCCTGCTCGCTTCCTCAAATCCCACGGGCAAACGCCGCAGAAAAATCCAAATTTAAACCTCACTTAGGGTTTTTGTTGATCCTCAGCCCAAAGTACAACCAGCCAGAGGAGAACAATTCCCATTTTACCAGGGTCACGGCACCACGACGTGTCGCCCACCAGTCACTTAGAGGGGTCAGACTGGACCCCTGATTAAATAATCCAAAGCAAGGTGCTTGGAAAAAAAAAACCCAAAAAAATCAACAAACCATCTTCAGGGCTTCAGCAGATGGGGGTTGGGAGAAAACAACAACAACAAAAAAAACCCAAACAAAACTGAATTTCTTGATTATTGCCAAGGCTGCAAACAATCCATCGTCTCCCTCCCCGCTCTGGGCAGATTGGAGCTGCCGCTCGTTTTAATTAACAGGAAGGAAGGAATGATAAATGTTCGCTTGAAATGAAGGGGAGAAAAGAAAAATTAAAGGCAAAGAGCCACGGAGAGGAGGAGAAAGGTCCCCTCCCACCCAGCAGAGGGGCAGGAGATGGGGCACGACAGAGGAGATGTTGGAGCTGGTCCACAGGGAGGGCTCGGTGCCCTCTGATCCCGGAGGAGGATGTTAATTAAAAAGGGAGAGGTGCCAGGTGGAGGAGGGAGAGATCTGAGGGCTTGGGTGCTGTCACTGGGATATTTGAAGGTAGTCAAGTGTCCCTCCTCACAGCTGGACACACTTAGAGCTGCTAAATCACTCCTGGCTGGAGGCTGGAGGCAACAAAGGGGGAGGAAAATCCACCCTCGTGGCGAGGGGAAGGCTGTGCCACCATCTCTTTAATTCATCCGAAAGGGGATGGGGCAGCTCCAGTCCCAAAACTGGGAGATGGGGTTTAACAGCCTCTCTGGGGATAATAGGGGGTACCCCCACCTCCCCACCACGCAGCGGGAGATGTGGGTGGGGGATGGTGCAAGAAGATGGGGTTTAACAGCCTCTCTGGGGATAACAAGGGGTACCCCCACCTCCCCACCACGCAGCAGGAGATGTAGGTGGGGGATGGTGCAAGAAGAATCACAGAATCCCAGAATCTTCTAGGTTGGAAGGGACCTTCAAGATCATCTTGTCCAACCGTCAACCGAACTGACAAAAATAGACACCCCCACAACAAACAAGGAGCATCATCACTAAACCATCCCTCCCAGCACCACATCAACCCGGCTTTTGAACACCTCCAGGGATGGGGCCTCAACCCCCTCCCTGGGCAGCCCAGTCCAATGGCTGAGAACCCTTTCAGGGAAAAAAATTTTCCTAATATCCAGCCTGAACCTCCCCTGGGGCAACTTGAGGCCATTTCCTCTCGTCCTGTCGCCTGGGACTTGAGAGAAGAGCCCGACCCCCACCTCTCTACACCCTCCTTTCAGGGAGTTGGGGAGAGCAAGAAGGTCTCCCCTCAGCCTCCTCTTCTCCAGGCTGAACACCCCCAGCTCCCTCAGCCTCTCCTCATCAGACTTATTCTCCAGACCCCTCACCAGCTTTGTCGCCCTTCTCTGGACCCGCTCCAGCACCTCAATGTCTTTTTTATGGTAGGGGGCCCAAAACTGGACACAGTACTCAAGGTGAGGCCTCACCAAGAAGAGCCAGATCCAATGAAGAAATCGCTGAGGAAACCCAAGATGACCAAGCAGATGGAGTGAGATGCCTCTGGTGGAGCACTGGGACCGGACCCTGCTCAGCTTCGAGGGCAATGACCACTGAAATACCCTCAAATGCCAACAGAGCTACGATATCCCTAATTTTAGGGGGGTAAACAAGAGGTCCCAGGAGGATGGTGAAGCCTCGTGGGGTCTGTTTGGTTCGGTACCACTTCTACACCAACCTCGTTGGGTTGGATGCTCTTGCACTCACACCTGAGGCTGTGAACCTTAGAGAATCAAAAAATGGTTTGGGTTGGATGGGACCTCAAAGATCATCAAGTTCCAACCCCCCAACCCTGGGCAGGGCCCCCTCCCACCAGCCCAGGTTGCTCCAAGCCCCCTCCAACCTGCTCTTGAACCCCTCCAGGGATGGGGCATCTTCACCCAATCTTCTTCCCAGAGATGGGAACCAGAGATGGGACCAGCACTGGCCACTCTGAGCATCCTGGACCCATGGGCTTCTCGCTGGAGGATGAAGAGACCTCTGGCCTCTGCGTGACGATCGCAGAGCTCTCGCAAGATGCCCCATCAGTCAGGCAAACATTAACCCCTCTTCAAAGTCAAGGAGTAACTCTTCCTCCCCTCCAAAGCCTGGTAGAAAAAAATCACTGACCATCTCCCCGTCCCTGCTGTCTGGACACAGATGACCTCAGGGCCCAGCAGAGCAGCAGATCTAATTAGTCCCTAAGAAAAGCAACGTGCTCCGACGAGCGGATCTGACAAGAGCAGGAGAGGACCAGCTGCCTCTAATTAAGGTGGCCATGAGCAGCAGAGCATGTCCCCAGCCTGTCATCTCCGGGAGACGGCGGCGGTGGCTGCCAGGGGCTCGGTCACAAGGGATTTGGACTCTCACCCCTTTCCTGGAGGAGATCTCAGAGCGTGGGGGGATGTGCTGGGCAGGTTTATCCCGGTTCCTCATGATGGGATGGCCAGCAAGTGAAGATAGGAAGCTGGAGAAGGATGGAATCACTCAACCTTTGCTTCCAGACCTGCCCCATGAGTCTTATGTCCGGTTAACCACGTCTGGATACTCCCCACCACAGCCTGGAGGGGAGAAGAGGCCAGTGGTCTCCTGGGAGGCATCAAGAAGAACATGGCCAGCGGGTGGAGGGAGGTCATTCCCACCTCTGCTCTGCCCTGGGGAGGCCCCAGCTGGAGCTCTGGGACCAGTTGTGGGCTCCCCAATTCCAGAAGGACAGGGAAGTGCTGGGGAGGGTCCAGCAAAGGGCTACGAGGATGCTGAGGGGCCTGGAGCATCTCTCTGGGGAGGAAAGGCTGAGGGACTTGGGGCTTTTGAGTCTGGAGAAGAGAAGGCTGAGGGGGGATCTGATCAAGGCCTGGAAATCCTTCCAGGGTGGGGGTCAGGAGGATGGGGCCAGGCTTTTTCCAGTGGTGCCCAGGGACAGGACAAGAGGAAATGGGCACAAGCTTGAATATAAGAAGTTCCATCTCAACATGAGGAGGAACTTCTTGACTTTTTGACTTCTTGACTTCAAGCTGGAAGGGAACAGATTTAGACTGGAGATGAGGAGAGGGTTCTTCACTGGGAGGGTGGTGGAGCACTGGAACAGGTTGCCCAGGGAGGTGGCTGAGGCCCCTTCCCTGGAGATATTCAAGGAGAGGCTCAACGAGGCCCTGGGCAACCTGGTCTAGTTGGGGGTGGCCACAGATGGAGGGAGGTCATCCTGCCCCTCTGCTCTGCCCTGGGGAGGCCCCAGCTGGAGCTCTGGGACCAGTTGTGGGCTCCCCAGTTCCAGAAGGACAGGGAAGTGCTGGAGAGGGTCCAACGGAGGCTGCGAGGGACTGGAGCATCTCTGTGATGAAGAAAGGTTGAGGGACTTGGGGCTGTTCAGCTGGAGAAGAGCAGACTGAGATCCCATCGATGCTGAGCAAGAGCTAAAGGGTGAGGGGGCAATAGGATGGGGCCAAGCTCTTCCCAGTGGTGCCCGGGGACAGGACAAGGGACAACGGGGACAAACTGGGACACAGGAAATGACCGTGAGGGTGGCAGAGCCCTGGAAGAGGCTGCCCAGAGAGGGGGTGGGGTCTTCTTCTCTGGAGAGATTCCAAACCCGCCTGGATTTGATCCTGTGGGACCTGCTCTGGGTGACCCTTCTTGGGCAGGGGGTGGGACTGGGTGGTCTCCAGAGGTCCCTTCCAACCCCTACAATTCTGTGATCCTGTGACATTTACCCTTTGGAAGACCATCCCGTAGAGCGCGACTAGTCAACAACTGGACATGCTCTTTGGCTCCCACAGAAGGATGAGTTCAGGGATGCTCCAAACCTCAGCTGGACTCGGCCTCTCCGGGTTTCCAAGTCTTGTGCTGGGCACAGGAGGCAGGATCGGGCCAGAGCCCAAGGAGAGCAGGGCTGGGACTCCGTGGTCAGGGCTTGGGAAGGCCTTTGGCCAACAAGGAGAGCAAAACTCATGAGGAACCTGACTCGCACCAGCACCCTCAGCAATCGGACTCCCGGGAGAAGCATGTTTTTGCTTCCAAGAGGTGATTTTTGGGGAACAGAGCCATATTTTCATCGACAAGGACCAGCCCATCCAGTAATGCCAAGGTTCTGGGAGCTAAAGCTGATCTAGTGCTTCGGTGGAGAGAGCTCTGCCCTCGTAGCGATGATTAAATCAAGAGAGGACATCACAAGAATCACCTTCAGCTGGGACTTAGAGACCATCCCTAATGGCACATCCATGACAGACCCCCCCCACGACCTCCAGAACCCATTTCAACCTCTTCAAACTCTGCCCCACACCCCTGAACCGAAACGCACCCAACACCAGGACCCCCAGGGATCACTCCCCACACACGGCCCTTCCAGTAGGACTGGTTTTTCCCCCCGTCGCTGCTACAAATAGGTCTGGTTTCTATCACAAAACATCATTTTCAGCTCCCTCCCCAGCCCCCCCAGTTCGCAGCCGCAGCGCCAAATTCCCATCCGAGACCTTTAGAGAAACAAAACGTTCATCTCCCACCAGGTGAGAGGCTCCAATTTTAAAAATTGCAGTTTACGGCCTTGTTAAAAAGAGCTATTCAAAAATTACATCCGCTCCGCCAAATTAATAGAGGCGGAACTGCTAAGAAAGCAATTTTCTCTAGGAATTGAACGTGTTCCTCCTCTAGAGCCCGGGTGATTATTTCTGTAGGCATCTACATCTGGCTTCCAGCACGTCAATCCCTTCCGAAGACGAGCCAGAAACTGGGAAAGGTCTTGCAGTTGCTTGAAGAATGAACATTCGCCTCCCACGGTGAAAAAAAAAACCAATTAATTCCAGGGCTGGGAGAGAAACCAGCCAAACTGTCTTCCCCGGCGGCGGCAGCAGCTCCTGGGCCACGTGGACACAAGAAACCCAGGAATGGTCCAAGCAAAGTCATTGCCCCGTGATAATAAACACAGCTCTGAGCCCAGAGTTCCAACCAGGCGCCTTCCGAGACCCAAAAACTTCCCTTTCTCCAAATCCCTGCCCGCCTGGAAAGGCAAAAAAAAAGAATCTCTCTTGGATAAATGTTCCTCGCTCACCGATGGACGTGTCTTACCTTCTGCGCCTGAGAGGGTTCCGTCAAGACCAGGGTGAAAAGGCCCAGGCAGATCTCTTCATGCTGAGGGGTTCCTTTACAGATCTGAGGGGAAAAAAGGGCAAAAACATGTCCAAGAGAGAAAAAAAATTCGGTGAGGGGGTGAGATGGGAGGTTTGGGGTGAGATGGGAGGTTTGGGGAAGGCCAGGAAAGCGACAGGAGGAGGAAACCCCTCTCAGACCCATCAAAGGGGTGGTCAACGGGGCGGTCAACGGGGCACCCAACGCCCAGCGAGGAATTCAAAGCAGGATCACAAGGGAATAAAGAAACCACCCGGGGTCTCTCCAACATTTCTACCCCCCTGGGAAGTCAACACCAGTGCAAACCTCTCAGCATCGAGTGCTTTTAGTTGGATCAATTAAGGATATCTCATTAACGAGGGGTAACAAACCCCCAGACTCTTTGTCTGTGGTTGAAGACATGGCCCGGCTCTTCTTAAAGACTTTTCTACAACTTGTTCATCAAGAAGGAAAGTATCTAAGGAGCTTCAGGGCCCTAAAAATCCAGCCTGGGCTGTTGAGCTTTTCCCATTAAGGGAAGGCAACTCCACCAGCCCAAGGTGTTCCAGGGAGGAAAAAATGTGACCAACCAACACGTCTGTGAACCCATCAACGTGTCCCATCAGAGTTTCCCTTATACGGTAACATCTGCAGCTTCGCGTCGGGGAGTATTTTAAGACCATGAAGAGTTAGAAAATAAATGCTCGACAGAAAGGCTGAACCTGCCCTTTTCCAGCCGTCTGGAGGCCGGGTTGTTGGGAGGCCAGGAAAAAAAAAGTTGATGCTGAGGGGAGGAGGAGGACAAAAATACAGGAGAAAGTTTGCTGATGGTACAACAGAGGGCTGGGCCACCATCCAGAGAGACCCGGACAAGCTGGAGAGCAGAGCTGGGCAGAGAAGAACCTCATGAGGTTCACCAAGGGCCAAGTGTAGGGTCCTGTACCTGGGGAGGAAGAACCCCAGGCACCAGTAGAGGTTGGGGGTGGACCTACTGGAAGGTACTACTGAGGAGAAGGATCTGGGGGTCCTGGTGGCCACTAAACTCTCCAGGAGCCAGCAATGGGCCCTGGTGGCCAAGAGGCCAATGGGATCCTGGGCTGCGGAGGGAAGAGCGTGGCCAGGAGGTGGAGGGAGGTCATTCTCCCCCTCTGCTCCACACTGGGGAGGCCACAACTGGAATCCTGCGTCCAGTTCTGGGCTCCCCAGTTCCAGAGAGACAGGGAACTGCTGGAGAGAGTCCAGTGCGGGGCAACGGAGATGATGGAGGGGTTGGAGCATGGGTCCGGAAAGACTGAGAGCTGGGGCTCTTCAGTCTGGAGAAGAGAAGGCTGAGGGGAGACCTTATTAATATCTAAAGGTTGGGTTGAAGGAGGATGGAGCTGGACTCTCCTCAGTGGTTGCCAGTGAGAGGACGAGGGGCAATGGGCACAAACTGGAAGATGGGAAGTTCCATCTCAACATGAGGAGGAACTTCTTTGGGGTGAGGGTGGCAGAGCCCTGGAAGAGGCTCCCCAGGGAGGGTGTGGTGTCCCCTTCTCCGGAGATCTCCAAGCCCCACCTGGATGCTCCTGAGGGATGTGCTCTTGATGGGCCAAGAGCGGGGAGAGCACAACTTGGCCTGGTCTCGGTGCGGGTACGATACATCCCAAATTATTCCCTCCAGGCAGGACTTCTCATCCCTCAAGGAGCTGTGACACTTACGTGAGCGTTGAGGGCATCGTTAGCCTCCCTCTCCGACAGCCCGTTGGTTAACGAAGTCACGATGCCCACGCATCTTTCCAGCCTCTGAAAGAGAGAAAAGCCAAACGTCACCAAACGTTCCATCCTGGGGGGCATCAAGAAGAGCGTGGAGAACCTCAAGGGAGGTCATCCTGCCCCTCTGCTCTGCCCTGGGGAGGCCCCAGCTGGAGCACTGGGACCAGTCCTGGGCTCCCCAGTTCCAGAAGGACAGAGAACTGCTGGAGAGGGTCCAGCAAAGGGCTACAAAGAGGATGCTGAGGGGACTAGAAACCCTCTCTTAGAAGGAGAGGCTGAAGGACATGGGGCTTTTGAGTCTGGAGAAGAGAAGGCTGAGGGGGGATCTGATCAACACCTGGAAATCCTTCCAGGGTGGGGGTCAGGAGGATGGGGCCAGGCTTTTTCCAGTGGTGCCCAGGGACAGGACAAGAGGAAATGGGCACAAGCTTGAATATAAGAAGTTCCATCTCAACATGAGGAGGAACTTCTTGACTTTTTGACTTCTTGACTTCAAGCTGGAGGGGAACAGATTTAGACTGGAGATGAGGAGAGGGTTCTTCACTGGGAGGGTGGTGGAGCACTGGAACAGGTTGCCCAGGGAGGTGGCTGAGGTCCCTTCCCTGGAGATATTCAAGGAGAGGCTCAACGAGGCCCTGGGCAACCTGGTCTAGTTGGGGGTGTCCCTGCTGACTGCGGGGGGGTTGGACTAGATGGCCTTTGGAGGTCCCTTCCGGCCTGGGCAATTTTATAATTCTATGATGACTTTGAGGGTGGCAGAGCCCTGGCAGAGGCTGCCCAGAGAGGTGGTGGGGTCTCCTTCTCTGGAGACATTCAAACCCCACCTGGCCACGTTCCTGTGGGACCTGCTCTGGGTGACCCTCCTCTAGCAGGAAGTTGGGCTAGATGATCTCCAGAGGTCCCTTCCAACCCCGTAGCATTCGGTGATTCTGTCACAAATTCGGAAGCACGAGTCGAGCACATCCTCAGCGACACAAGACACAGCCCAGGCTGCTTTCACCCTCCACCCAAACACCCCGACAGCCAGAAAACCAGCCAGCTCTCGGTTCCTCTCAAAGCTCCACCAGCTGGAGAAGCCACCGCTTCATCCCCCTTCGTTTGATTCGCACGTTTGGGGTTTAAACGCTCTGCTGACACCACCCCAAGAGCCAAAAAGTAAATGTGTGATTATTCAGCGACGTTAATACTGATGTCACTTTGACACCAGGCCAGGACACGGCCGTGCCAAGGCTGAATTTGGGGCAGGGGGCTGAATCCTCACCCCGAGCTGCACCCCCCACCCAGGACGAGGAGTTGTCCCCGTCCCCGTCATCCAGCAGCTCCTGGCCATGTGGGAAGCAGCCGGAAAACCTTCTGTTTTCATCATTTAACATCTGAGGAGCTTCTGGCTGAGAATAACCAGCAGGAGCAGATGTTTCCAGGCAAACACCCCGCGGGATGAAGGGTTGGGAAGAGCCACAGAGTCCAGAGTGGTGAGATCCAGGAGCCCAGGGATGAAAACGAGGGGACGAGGGGACAGAGTGTATCCTCAGCAAGTTTGCTGATGATACCAAACTGGGAGGACTGGCTGACACCCCAGAGGGCCGTGCCGCCATCCAGAGAGACCTGGACAGGCTGGAGAACTGGGCAAGGAAGAACCTCATGAGGTTCAACAGGGAAAAGTGTAGGGTCCTGCACCTGGGGAAGAAAAATGCCAGGTACCAGCACAGGTTAGGGGTGGACCTGCTAGAGACAAGCTCTGAAGAGAAAGATCTGGGGGTCCTGGTGGACAGTAAAATGACAATGAGCAAACAGTGTGCTCTTGTGGCCAGGAGGCCAATGGGATCTTGGGTTGCATAGGGAAGAGTGTGGCCAGCAGGTCAAGGGAGGTCATTCTCCCCCTCTACTCTGCACTGGGGAGGCCACAACTGGAGTACTGGGCCCAGTTCTGGGCTCCCCAGTTCAAGAGGGACAGGGAACTACTGGAAAGAGTCCAGCGAAGGGCAACAAAGATGATTCAAGGATTGGAGCATCTCCCTGATGAGGAGAGACTGAGAGAGCTGGGACTCTTTAGTCTGGAGAAGAGAAGGCTGAGGGGAGACCTTCTCAATGCCTCCAAGTATCTCAAGGGAGGGTTGAAGGAGGAGGGAGCCAGACTCTTTTCAGTGGTTCCCAGTGAGAGGACGAGGGGCAACGGGCACAAGTTGGACCAGAAGAGGTTCCACTCAAATCTGAGGAGAAACTTCTTCACGGTGAGGGTGGCAGAGCCCTGGGACAGGCTGCCCAGGGAGGGTGTGGAGTCCCCTTCCTTGGAGATTTTCAAGACCCGCCTGGATGCTCCTGAGTAACATGCTCTGACAAGCTCTGGGCAATCCTGCTTCAGCAGGGGAGTTGGACTAGATGATCTCTATGGTCCCTTCCAACTCTAAAATTCAGTGAAATTCAGTGAAAACACTTGGAGAAGCAAAGGGCAAAGGCTCCCACTCCAAGTGAGACGATTCGGAGGTGCCCCTTCTCCACAGAGGGCACGACCAGCCCCACGTAGAACTGGTTTCTTCTCCCCAGCATCCTGGGCACTGGTGTCAGCCCATGGCTGCCTCTGGTGCGAGGAAATTTTGGGGGGCATCAAGAAGAACGTGGCCAGCGGGTGGACAGAGGTCATCCCCATCCCCCATCTCCAACTTGAACCTCCCCTGGTGCACCCTGAGGCCATTTCCTCTTCTCCCATGGCCTGTTCTTTGGAAGAAGAGACTGACTCCCTTCTCTCTACACCCTCCTTTCAGGGGGTTGGAGAGAGTGAGAAGGTCTCCCCTCAGCCTCCTTGTCTCCAGGCTGAACCCCCCCAGCTCCCTCAGCTGCTCCTCACAAGTTCTCCAGACCCTTCTCCTTGGTCTCCAGACCCCTCACCAGCTCCGTTGTCCTTCTCTGGACACACTCCAGCCCCTCAATGGCTTTTTTTGTGGTGAGGGGCCCAAAACTGGACACAGCCCTCGAGGTGGGGCCTCACCAGTGCCCAGTCCAGGGGGACAGTCACCTCCCGAGTCCTACTAGCCATGCTGTTCCTGACACAGGCCAGGATGCTGGTGGCCTTCTTGGCCACCTGGGCACGCTGCTGGCTCACATTGAGCCGACAGTCGCCCACCACCCCCAGGTCCTCTTCTGCCAGGCAGCTCCAGCCACTCTAGTCAAAAATGATGCTTTTCAGTGGTTTAAGAGAGGTTTGATGGATAAAAACCTCTCTGGGAAGACTTCTCCTGGTGCTTGTGTGCGCTCTGACACATCACCTTCACCAAACCCGAGCTCCACCACGCTCACCAACCCGTGGTGGCTCCTTCCAGACTCGATGCTCTCAAGGAAAGCTGTGGTGGGAGCCACCTGGACCCCCAAGAGACCCACCTTGGTAGCCTGGACCTGATTTTCAAGCCCAACTGAAGCTCCTGGCCATGTTGGGCTCATGGAGCCGCACGGGTCCAGAGCTGGGAACGTTCTGTCCAGACCTGGACAGGACCCAAAACATACACATGGGGACCCACCATGCTTTAGTCAAAAATGATGCTTTTCAGTAGTTTAAGAGAGGTTTGACGGATAAAAACCTCTCTGGGAAGACTTCTCCTGGGACTTGTGTTTGCTCGGACACATCACCTTCACCAAACCTGAGCTCCACCACGCTCACCAACCCATGGTGGCTCCTTCCAGACTCAATACCCTCAAGGAAAGCTCTGGTGGGACCCACCTGGACCCCCAAGAGACCCACCATGGTAGCCTGGAGCTGATTTTTAAGCCCAACCGAAGCTCCCGGCCACGTCGGGCTCATGGAGCCACACGGGTCCAGAGCTGGGAACGTTCTGTCCAGACCTGGACAGGACCCAAAACACACACACGAGGGGACCCACCATGTTTTAGTCATAAATGGTGCTTTTCAGTGGTTTAAGAGAGGTTTGATGGATAAAAACCTCTCTGGGAAGATTTCTCCTGGTGCTTGTGTTTGCTCGGACACATCACCTTCACCAAACCTGAGCTCCACCACATCACCAACCCATGGTGACTCCTTTCAGACTCAATACCTTCAAATAAAGCTCTGTTGGGAGCCACCTGGACCCCCAAGAGACCCACCATGGTAGCCTGGAGCTCATTTTCAAGCCCAACCGAAGCTTCTGGCCACATCGGGCTCACGGAGCCGCACGAGTCCAGAGCTGGGAACGTTCTGTCCAGACCTGGACAGGACCCAAAACACACACATGGGGACTCATAGTCAAAAATGATGCTTTTCAGTGGTTTAAGAGAGGTTTGACGGATAAAAACCTCTCTGAGAAGACTTCTCCTGGTGCTTATGTGCGCTCGGACACATCACCTTCACCAAACCTGAGCTCCACCACGCTCACCAACCCATGGTGGCTCCTTCCAGACTCAATACCCTCAAGGAAAGCTCTGGTGGGAGCCACCTGGACCCCCAAGAGACCCACCCTGGTAGCCTGGAGCTCATTTTCAAGCCCAACCGAAGCTTCTGGCCACATCGGGCTCACGGAGCAGCACGGGTCCAGAGCTGGGAACGTTCTGTCCAGACCTGGACAGGACCCAAAACACACACACGGGGACCCACCATGCTTTAGTCAAAAATGGTGCTTTTCAGTGGTTTAAAAGAGGTTTGATGGATTAAAAACCTTTCTGGGAAGACTTCTCCTGGTGCTTGTGTTTGCTCAGACACATCACCTTCACCAAACCTGAGCTCCACCACGCTCACCAACCCATGGTGGCTCCTTCCAGACTCAATACCCTCAAGGAAAGCTCTGGTGGGAGCCACCTGGACCCCCAAGAGACCCACCTTGATAGCCTGGACCTGATTTTTCAAGCTCAACGGACACATCACCTTCACCAAACCAAAGCTCCACCAAGCTCACCGACCCATGGTGGCTCCTTCCAGACCTGATACCCTCAAGGAAAGCTCCGTTGGGAGCCACCTGGACCCCCAAGAGACCCACCCTGGTAGCCTGGAGCTGATTTTCAAGCCCAACTGAAGCTCCCGGCCACGTTGGGCTCACGGAGCCGCACAGGTCCAGAGCTGGGAACGTTCTGTCCAGACCTGGACAGGACCCAAAACACACACTCGGGGACCCACCATGCTTTAGTCAAAAATGATGCTTTTCAGTGGTTTAAGAGAGCTTTGACGGATAAAAACCTCTCTGGGAAGACTTCTCCTGGTGCTTGTGTTTGCTTGGACACATCACCTTCACCAAACCTGAGCTCCACCACGCTCACCAACCCATGGTGGCTCCTTCCAGACCTGATGCCCTCAAGGAAAGCTCTGGTGGGAGCCACCAGGACCCCCAAGAGACCCACCTTGGTAGCCTGGAGCTGATTTTTCAAGCCCAACTGAAGCTCCTGGCCACGTTGGGCTCAAGGAGCCGCACGGGTCCAGAGCTGGGAACGTTCTGTCCAGACCTGGACAGGACTCAAAACACACATACGGGGACCCACCATGCTTTAATCAAAAACGATGCTTTTCAGTGGTTTAAGAGAGGTTTGATGGATAAAAACCTCTCTGGGAAGATTTCTCCTGGTGCTTGTGTTTGCTCGGACACATCACCTTCACCAAACCTGAGCTCCACCACATCACCAACCCATGGTGACTCCTTTCAGACTCAATACCTTCAAATAAAGCTCTGTTGGGAGCCACCTGGACCCCCAAGAGACCCACCATGGTAGCCTGGAGCTCATTTTCAAGCCCAACCGAAGCTTCTGGCCACATCGGGCTCACGGAGCCGCACGAGTCCAGAGCTGGGAACGTTCTGTCCAGACCTGGACAGGACCCAAAACACACACACGGGGACCCACCATGCTTTAGTCAAAAATGGTGCTTTTCAGTGGTTTAAGAGAGGTTCGATGGATAAAAAACCTTTCTGGGAAGACTTCTCCTGGTGCTTATGTGCGCTCGGACACATCACCTTCACCAAACCAAAGCTCCACCACGCTCACCAACCCATGGTGGCTCCTTCCAGACTCAATACCCTCAAGGAAAGCTCTGGTGGGAGCCACCTGGACCCCCAAGAGACCCACCTTGGTAGCCTGGACCTGATTTTCAAGCCCAACCAAAGCTCTTGGCCACGTCGGGCTCACGGAGCTGCACGGGTCCAGAGCTGGGAACGTTCTGTCCAGACCTGGACAGGACCCAAAACACACACACGGGGACCCACCATGCTTTAGTCAAAAATGGTGCTTTTCAGTGGTTTAAGAGAGGTTTGACGGATAAAAACCTCTCTGGGAAGACTTCTCCTGGGACTTGTGTTTGCTCGGACACATCACCTTCACCAAACCTGAGCTCCACCACGCTCACCAACCCATGGTGGCTCCTTCCAGACTCTATCCTCTCAAGGTGGGAGCCACCTGGACCCCCAGGAGACCCACCCTGGTA